CTCCCTCCTCTGCTTATCTGTCGCATGGAAAGACAATGCTGCTAGTAAAGTCCAAATTCCCTTAAATCCCAGCATTATATTGTAAAATAAAATTGATGTCTTCAAATTAAAGCGCAGGATGCACACAAAGCTGCAGAACATAACATATCTTACCACTCTGTTAGGCTAGACTGTGCTGTGCCATGGGTGATTCACACACTGTCTCATCAGGTGTAAATGGAGCTTCAGTATCATAATGCTGATAAGATCTTGGCCTAGAAATTGCTTTTGAAAACCCATGCCTGACCAAAAAAATAAGATCTGATCTTATTTAAAAACAAAATATTTCAGAAGGATAGTGGACTTTTTGCCCTATGAATAGTCTGTTGCAGAGGGACTAGCACAGTTACCCATGTGTTTCCTTACGCTGCTTTGTATTTCTTTCCTATAGTGCAAAGAACACAATTACAGAGTAGACTACAGTACACAGAAGTTTCACGCAGAAAAGCTGAATTTAAAACATACTATAGATTACTTCTGATGATTTAGTGAGAGACATGATAATTGTAACTTGTAATAAAATCCAAAATGGTGTGTGGTGTGGTGGGGGTGCAGGGGAGAGTTGACTCTGCTATGTCACTCAGCAGTAGGGCCACACTAGGAAGAGCTGATTTTGGAAACTCCTGAGTAAGGAAGCTAGCATGGGAGATGGTACTGCAAATAAATGTGCTGTTTTCACAGATACTTCTCTTTGGTTACATAAGCAGGCAAGGGCTTTTGTATGTGCCAACTCATCCTGCCAGCTACTTGTTGCCAAATGGGGGGGCTAGTAATCACCCCAGAACAGCTGCACAAATAGAGAGCCATCTAATAGCTTGAATTTCCCTTTTTTTTTGTGGTGCCCTAACCACACAGTACTGCTCTCCAGCAGACACTCTGCCTTCATCCATAATAACATCTAACAATTAAATCTCGGTCAAGAGTTGAAGCCACAAAGAACTGTTTGTCTACGTAGCTGTAACATTTCTGGCACTGTGAAGATAAACAAAGACAACAAAACAGGTATTTTGAAAGACTTAAGGAAATTCTTCCTAGGTATTTCATTGCTCTTTGGACAGGAATAATAAAAATGGGAGGAGAAATGCAATTTGTGAATTTGAACAGATCTCCTCCCTAGAATTCCAAGTGGCTCTTTTGTCAATTAAGCAAGACATTCTAAAATCTTTGTGCAAAAAACACGTTAAAAATATGGGGTAATCTGCTTTGTAACTCTTTCTGGCTAAGCACATAGTTGCTGTGTTTCAGAGCACAGCCCTATACCATCATCAGGCAATCGGGAGAGTTTTCTGGAGCAGCAGGTGTAAAAAAAAAAAAATAAAAAAAAAAAATAAGAGCCCCTTCATGCTTCCTGACCAATATATTCTAGGTTCAATGCCATGGATCAGTGTTACAGTTGAGTTGTATCACCTTCTGCATCAAGTTCATATGGCTGAGATGCACTGAAAATGTTAAAAGGAGAGGGGGGCAATTAATGCTGAAAAAAACCCACCCAAACCTTAAATAAAATCGTTCCACTTTCTATCACTTTGTTAAAATAAGCTTTTTAGCAGATGCTAATATTCTAAGTGGTCTGGCAGCCTGAAATGAGTTTGTGGGAATCAGGTAGCACACATGGGTGGCTTGGAGAGAACCCAGAGGTTATTTAATATTTTCTTCATGCCCCAGGTGTTTGTAATGGGCCAGAGAAGATACGATCCTTACCCCTGGAACACAAAATCAGTTCAGCAGTGTATATGGTGCAAAATCCAGGTGTCACACAAAATGTGAGTGCCAGGAACAGGATTATCGGTATCATGAACAGCACTGCCACTCTTTCTGAGTGCATGACCCCCTGCAAAATCCAATTTATTGGATTTTGGAGATCATTCAAGGATTGGGAGAAGATGAGTCACAAGCGTCTAAGGGGTAATATTGTGTAGGTTTTGATTTTGACTCTCATTGCTTTTTCAACACACAAAATATTCACCAGCTAATTTTATTGAATACTGCTATAACAAAACCCTCTTGTTGACTGCTCTCTGCAGAGGGCTCTAAAATTAAAGTTATAGCTATTTAACTGGTTTGCAACTCAAAGAGTGCAGCTGAGACTCATCTTGACTAAAGTGCAGTTATTTGCTGAATGTAACTTCTCTGAAACTGCTGACTTCTTAAAATGTGTGCACCTCTAAGAGCTGTTGGTGCATCTCTAGTGTCAATAGCATGTATTTGTGGTATTGAGTAGTGCTCGATTCCCTCCACAAGAATCTAGTTCTCCCTGCAGTACCCAAAGGTTTAGACCAGTTATCCAGATATAGAGTCTGGAGCTTTATATAGCATATATAGCATGCTATCTGAGATCAAAACAAAGGTAGTCATTTGAGCATGAAGCATCTAAAAATAGGCTTGGACTCCTAAACTTACATGATTCATAGGTGAATACATCAACCATGAACAACTCCCAGAAAATTAAATATAGATCTAGGAGTCTGCAAGCATGAACATTATAATTATGATAAGGCAAACTATGATGGAAATCTACGTCTTGCCTACCATCACCAGCAAATGCAGTATGGTTTATCTCTCACTGACAGAAGGACAAAGAGCCTCATGCTTACCACAGGGTAGATAATTCCCAGAGCCAGCCACTGCAGTAGGGGTAACACAGTCTACAGAGCCTCACTGGCCCTTCCATGCCTTATCTGAGCGCCTGTATTGTACACCATAAGATCTAGTTCCAGGTGACTTTCCACGTTCTTTTCAGAAAGGGCCGGATTGGCTCTGAGGGCATTTAACAGCATAAGCCAGTTTTGCCTCTTGTGTAGCATATTTCCATGTTGTTGAGGGCTAGATTGCATGGAGCATTGAACAGCCTGGTGTAGTGGAAGCTGTTCTTGCCCATGGGAGTGGGGTTGGAAATCGATGATCTTTAAAGGTCCCTTCCAACCCAAACCATTCCATGATTCTGTGTTTCTATGTTTTCAGTGCAGTATATAAAGGAATACCATTGTCATATAATGCACACAACTTGCTTCTTACCCACTAATTACTAGGAGCGGTTCTAAACTCATTTTATGCAGAGAGCAGTATATATTTGCATGAGATTAACTTCACCTTGATTTGATTAAATTTAGGAGTATGACAAAATAGCCTACGCCACTACTTCTCAGGCATGTTTGTGAAGTGCTTTAAACATTTAGAACACACTAAATGCCAAGTGTTAAGTATAATGATGTCAGGTGAAATGCTGTTGGTGCAGTAGTGAAAATACTACTACGTTTTCTATGTACTGAAACCAGTCACTAAAATGTTCTTGTTTGTTTCTGCATAGCACAACTAAAAGTGGCAATACATGGATGTATCTTGCCCGGTATCTAGAGAACAAAGACATCTGACTTCAAGCTTCTATACCCTGGAATGTACTAAAAAAATTATATGTCATGTTAGAGATGCCAGGTAAACCTCTGTTACTGCTGTGCAATACAAACGAGAAACAATGGGTTTTGCTTAGTACTCCATTGAAATCCTGCTTACTCTGCTTCACATTAATTTGTGTTTAGGTGTCGGATTTTTACAAATGTGATATGACAGCACAAAATATTATTTTTCCCTCATGGACTAATGTCAGGAAAATTATCTGTCTGCATTCAGAATAGCACCCAACTGCACTGTTGCCTGCAATAAGATGATGTCTGATGTCACTCAAACAAACAGATGCATTCATTTCTTTCCCAGAGTGAAACAAGAAATATTCATAAGGACAACATATTTATCATTCTGCCTGTGCTAGTTCCATCCTTGTATCCTATTATTTTTCTCAAACTGTTCAGGTACACCGATTTCAAATCTTGCACAATAAACATTTCCTTTCTACCCTACTTGATACAAATGTTACTGGGGTCTTACCAAGGAATTTCCACAAGAATTATGCAAACAGAGGAAGTGCCACATTATAATCTATTTATTTATCATCCTAAAGAACGAGCTGTCCTGACCCTAGATCAATAATAATTCCTTAATGAAAATGCAAGTGACAAACAGAATGCCTAGTCAGAAACAACTGCCTTCTAAACTAATCTGCCTTACAGAGGAGTAAATTAACTAAACAATCTGTTAAATGAATACTATCATGTTTACTTTCTATAATGCAAAGAAGGCAAAAGCTGAAAAGCACTCTCAGGAACAAATAAAACACAGTAATTACTTTTTTTAAAAAAACAATTGTTAACAACTATAATACAGTGTTTTGCATCTTTGACTACCTATATTAAACAATTAACAGTGCACAGTAAGCTGAATGTTAAATAAATCCTGCGTATTATTTGCTGCTGTTTATGCCTGTGTAATTCTGATTCTCTGCGTATGTCCTGTTTCATCAGGTCATATCAAATCATGTTTTGTCAGTGTTTATTAATTCAGCCTAAATCCAGTCACATGGCACACACTTCAAAGAACTCAGTATTAAAAATGCTTTCTGTAATTCCAGCCTTTTTAAAATGTGAATAGATACATCTGATTACCCACTGACTTGCATGTCAAGTTTATTTCATTTCAAGCACGTCTTTTACTTAAGCTGTTCAGCCGTCACTTAAAATAGTATTCCCCTTTACTTTTAAATTGCAACACACAAACTACAGAGGAGTTGATTTCCTCTCTTTGTACGAGGAGTGACTTGAGCTAACGTTAATGGGAATTACTGAGGCATGCCATTAAAGTTTTAGACAGCCTCAGGTTTCCAACAAGACTAAGAAGTACTGCTGTGCCACTTACAGACTCTTGTGAAAAGTAAAAGCTGAGCAAAGGAACACAGGCAAATTTTCTTTCTACCCTGTTATTATTAAGTCTCATTTCAGCTGTACACATGGGACAATAAAAGATTAAATATGTCCATTATGTTCTGTGAGTATAGTTACCTGCAGAAAAACAGGGAGTGAGGAGAAAAAAGCAGATGAACAGAAAAAAAGATAAAAAATTAACTGGTTTACCTGATGCTGTACAGCACTTTTCCAGTCTTAGAAATCCTCAGCAACTTGTTGTCTGTTGTGACATCATGGAAGTTTGCTCCCTTCTCATTAGCAAAGAATAAGTCTGGCTTCCAAATAGAGTCCAACATAGAGGGATCCAAATCCAGGGAATCATCAGGATATTCGCTGTAAGCCAGGCGTGAGTCATTCCACTGTTGTCTCAAAAATATATTCACTCTGTAGTCCTACAGAAATTCCATGTGAAAAGGTTACTAAGCCACTTATCGAAACTTGGAGCCCACTTTAGCTTTCTTTATGCTGTTAGACTTACTACAGTACCAGTGTTACAGAAAACATTTATGTTATCCTTTGAACATAAGAGATCTCATTTGAAAATAAAGCAGTCTAAAAGCTGTGTTGAACCAAACACACACAACTGGCACATTTTCCAAATCAAAATTACTTCAATGATGAAAAAAGTATTAATTGCAACCTCAAATATTAAATATAAACCTTTTTCCAATGTGATGGGTTAACTCAGAGGTACTTAGAAAGTCAAAAAGCATTGCAGCTAGATATATACAATTTCAACAAATATTCTATAAAAACTAGTAATTTAAATAAATTACTTCCAAAATGTAAATCAGTTATTTCTAATGTACTCATGAATAGTTGCTAATTCAAGTGAAGCCAGATTTGTATAGAATAAATTAGATCAGCACTACTTATTTACTGTTTGTATCCTTTTTTTATCTACTGTATGCTTTTCTCTGGATGTTACTTCATTCACTCCTCCCTCTCTGCATCCCATTGAAATTATTCTAATTTCATTCTTCTGCTGTGTGGTCTGCTAGTCAAAATTGGGAAAGGCAGCAATTACTTAGAGGTTCATTTAGAATTGACATTAACATTGTGTCAAGAACTGACTATTTTAAAGGGGATTGTGAAAGGAGCTTTTAGGGTCTAGACTCTCTGGAGGGAATGGGAAGATGCTAATGCGTATTCTCCTTATCCTGAAATTCCAAAGTCAGCAAATAATAGCTTCATCTCCCCCATCTTTCCTTATTATTATAAAATTTTTACCTGAAATTACTACATTTCACTTGCTTGTGAGTACCCTCTTAGAAATACATCTATTCTTCCTTTGAAGGGAAAATATTTCATAATATTTATAGCAATAATGTAATCTGAAAGAATATTTTATCAAATAATTCTGCCAACTGTAAAGACCCTCACATTCAGGATTTACTTTATGGTAAGGTGCAGTACATTAATACGGCAGCATTATGCTTTGACTTGGAAAATGTATGAGCTGACTTGGGCTTATTTAGGCCACTGACCTGCATAGTCTAAAGAACTTATCATCTATGAAGAGTAGATAAATATTCTCACCCAGATTAGAGCTGCAGAAAGCAGTTTGCCCAATATCCAGACCCTGTGAGCAAGCCTCTCCAGGCTTGAGCACTTCCTATCTTTAGTTCAGTACATTTGTGACAAGGTGTACTGCTTCCCTAAGAGGTTGATTCTGACATCCAGATTGATGAAGTTTTCTAACCCGTTGGGATGATGCTCTACAATCTCACTGGGAACCATGTTCTTTTTTTTCTTGCTTTGTCATTTTCTTTTTGCTGTTGTGTAGATGTGAGTCAAAACAGAAGTGTCTACTAATCAAAGCAAGACAGTCCTGAGAGGGGTCTCAAGAACAGCACATGTACTCAAGATACTTAAAAAAGCTTGTATCTGTTTTTCACAAGCCACTGTACTTTTTATGCTGGTGTTGTTTCATACAGGATGAGGACTTGTGAGGATACACTAACCCTAATCATACTTTCCCTTGTGTTTTCATCATAGAAGCTGAGCGTGTCTTATAAGTTTAATGAGACAGTTTTAGTTATAAATCCAGGAAAGCACTGGATTTTCATTCTGCAGAAAAGAAGGCAGGAGCTGTCATGAGCAAGTGCTGATAGAATAAAATTGCTACAACTAGTTGTGCAACTGCCTTCTTTTTTCTTTGAAATAAGATATATAATGAAGCCTATGGAAAGCAGAGGGCTTTTCCCCCCATGACATAGAAATCATAAACAAGTCAAATTAGTAAATTGTTTAGAAATACCTAAAAATAAATATTTTAATGAACTTCAGTGGTTTGTGATTTAGATAACGGAAAAGAGTCTGAAGAATCCTTATTCAATGAAGAATTTGTGTATGATGATATATATTATACCAAAAGCATAAATAATTTTGAAAGGATTATGCTATCTTTTCTAGTATGTATCTTCATAAATACATCAGAGCCATCACACTGACAAACTCAGAAAAGCTTTCCCACTGTAAGTTTTGTTGTTAGAAGCATAACAGCACTGAAAATTGTGTTTATGTCTGATAGGCTTTGCATACATATATATGTATAGATAATTTAATAAGAAAGAAAAATGGAAATATAACAGGTACAGCACAAAACTGCAATTACTTTTTTCTCCTGTTCTTGCGGTATAACCACTTGGGAAGGATGTGTGTTTACACAGTCAGACTTAGTCATGTGCAGAATTTTGGATTTACTTTTCCTGTGCTAACTTTGTAACTATCTTCTGAAGAAAAATTGTCCTGAGAAAACTCTCACAACATAGAGCTCAGGCAGACTACAGTGTGTATTTTGCAAGCTCCTGAGGGTAAAAGTGGGTGGACTGTAGTAATGCACACCTACACAACTATGAGTACACCTGCTCCACAAATTCTTTCTGACAGCACTGCTGCTCTGAACGAGGAGTGTGGACCAAAAGATTCAATCAGTTTGCAACATAGCTCAAGGCAACTCAGATAAACAGTTTTTGTCTGTTGTCAAGCCATAAGATGGGAGTAATAGTTACATACTGAAGAAATAGCCATCTGATTAGTTTTAGTAGATTTATCTGAAGATTTAGGCACTCAATCTACAAATATACTGTTTGTGTTACAGGACTCTAGATAAAAATGGTCTTTCAGCAACCACTTTCTGTCTCTGAACTGATCTTAGCCTTCCTTCCATCTTAGCCCCCTGCCAATAGCATTGATCTCTCAGGCTTTGAGACTGATGTCTGACGAAAGCAGCAGACTTTAGCTGTCCTTCCATGGATAGGAAGGTCTTGCCAAAGAGACTGCTCTCTCTCTTTCTAAATCCTAAATATGAATGCTAACTGAAAAATAGTGGTTTAATGACCTATTTTAAGGCTCAGAAGATGTTACAGAAGATCACTTGGTTACCTATGTACCTAAGCATGCAAGGTGTCCCCAATGGCTTCAGTGGAAGTTTCTTACGCAATTAAAACTATACATGTGAATTAATCCACATGTAACAAGCTCATTTGCAGTTATGTTTTTTCTACTGGAAAGATAATATACATTCAGACACAACCAAGCTTTTAAAACAAAGGAATGGCATTTTTTTTCTGCTAACAAAATTACTCAAAACACAACTAGAGTTTGATGCATTTACCCCAACAGCGAACCTGCTGCGTAGTGTCAGTCACTGATTATAGGGCATAACAACAATAATAAAGTCCTCACAGTTAATAATTTCTGTAATTAACAATTAGCTTGTCGATGTACAAACTGCTCTTAGTTTCTCCTACAGCTGATAGCTAAAATTCCTGGTCATTAGCAGCATTGAACATCTGAATTCTTTGGGACTCCGCCCAGCCCAATGTGGATTACTCATCTTTGATACTCAGCTGCAGTCATGCTGTACAGTGAATTTTCTGCTGAATACTGCATGTGTGAATGCTTCCAAAAATGGATACAGAGTTTACTGGCATAACTGATTTATTCAGTGAACTTACTCAGGAATGCCTTTTCACCTTTCTCTGCTAGTTAGGGCTTAAATAAATCAACGAAGAATATTTCCAACAATTACATCTTGACTCATCTTCTTCTTTACTATTTTTATTTTGGTATAATATATACCATTCCAATATGGAAGAAGCCATTTCTTTTGGAGAAAAACAAAATCAATTGTGCTACTGCCCCATATGTGCATTATAGTGCAGAAAGTCTAATACATTTGCATTTTGTTTCCCTAGATCTTTGGGAACAAAACTTGTGAATACTCTGTGGGATTCATCCATTTGGAGAGAATCAGCACAAAATCTGTTTTATTTCTGAATTAAATGTTTTAGCTTTTAGAAGAATATGCTGGACATAAGAGCTCTGCTGGCCTCTCACAGAGGGATGAATTTCATGATGGTGTCTGTCCTATTCAGAAAACAGAAGCTACTCCTGTTAATGTTACTGAGAACCTGGCTTACTGAATTTAGTAGGTCTGAGACTGTAATCCTGTTTTCCATGTTCATTTCTCCTACTGAAAGCTTCTCTAAACAAGTTTTCATCTCCCAAGTTTCTAATGAGCTGCTGCAGATCATCCATGTTCTCATGTCCCTTCGGTACATATGCATGGTTTCACTAAGCATTCCTGTCCTCTGAGAAAGGAGTGTCTCTATTGAATTTACAATCCAGGGTTTTAAATGAATCGTTTGGTTTTATGTCAAAACCATCAAGAGCACTTTATAGGGAAAAATTAATCCTAGGAGTCAAACAAAACTCAGTACTGATCACAAGGGATGACAACATTTTTACCACATGATTATGTCTATTTCAGAAAGGCAAAGTAGATGGAACAGTAATTGATGTGTGCCTCTCAGAGCAGTTTTAAAACATCCTAAAAGTGATGGCACTAGTCGTTAAAGAGGTGACAGCATTAAGAAAATCAATATCAAACCATTGAACAGCATCTAAGAGAAATCTTTCCATAGTTTTGCAGATATTATGGACAAAGCAAAATAAGAAAGCCAATTTCTTTGTTTTCATCTACTTGAATGTTTGGCTGTTTTCAGCAGAAATGTGTTAATGAACATTGGAAAGGTGCACATTAACATATTTGATAGAAGGTAAAATGCAATGAGGGGATTTAATCAAAGCAATGAAGGAGTCTAATTAATGCAATCAGCATTAGGTCGTGCAAATATTTTCATTGAATGCCATCTTGTAAAGCTAGTGACGTGCAGGTTTTTTTGCTACTTAACACTATGCTAATGCCTCTGCACACTAGGATAAACAGATGTGGCTGGGTAAAAAAGGCTACATGCCTAGCTATCTTCTCAGAATCCTTTAAATATATATTAAAAAAAGGTTAAAAAAAAAGAAAATTAAGGAAGTTGATAATTATGTTACATCAAAATATGTTTTTTTCCTGTATTTTTTAACTTGATTTTAGTTTTCATTTAAAGTGTTTTTAAAATACTACAGATACACAGGCTAAAGTTTAACTTAATAGTTTATTTTATGGCTTTGTATGTTATAGCTTGTCATTTATAGAAGAGCCTTTCCCACACTATTTAACAAATCAACCTGCCCTACATATAAATTTTACTTTATCTCTAGAAAACATTAAATAACATCTTAGGGGGGTTTATGTAAAAATATTTGGGACATTCCTTAAGCATCACTTTCTAAAATGATGGCATGAATTACAATTGAATTTAAATGAAGTATTTGAATATTAAATTAAATATTTCTGTTGGGCTAAATCTCTGTTCTTCCTTTGTAATGCAAAGATCGCAAGGCAGTAGCTATCCAATTTTTATGAAAAAATATTTATTTGGTATATCTTAAGTCCTTTTGTGTAACAAATTCATTTTTAGCTACCAAGAACTCAATCCTACAGGATGCTAAGCATCTTTATTGCCTCTGGCTTCAGCAAATACAGAAAGACCTGGATTCTGTGTAGCAATGCCTGGAAAGCAGTTGGAAAACTACATTGCAGTTCTTCAGAAGTGCCCATAGTTTTCTATAGCCACCTGAAATAATGAGAAGAAGTCTTGCAAAATTTCAATGAAGGTTAATTTTTTTTGTGGTAGCAGTGACTTGAATAGTTCAGTCGAAATGGAATTTGTAACCAGGCTCTTTCTGGAATGGATTTAACATTCTTCCTGTATATGAATACCTGATAATTATTATGGGTTTATCACATTATTATAAGAAAGCCATCAAAAATCACTCTCTGGGCTAACAGCAGTAGTCAGGTATATGTATGCTTGAATACATAAGTGATCTTTTTTACTCAGTATTTGAAAAAGATTTAAAACTTCAGCATCTTTTTTAATAGCTCAGAAAAGATTTTTTTTTTAGCAAATTGAAAAAAAAAAAAAAAAAGAAAAGAAAAGAAAAAATTCATGTCTAGAGTAAACCAGAAAAAAGTTGGACTAAAATTTTAATTTTAATTTTTTTAGCTTGTCTCCTTTATCCCTAAATTTTGGCAATTTTTGAAGAAAAATCTCATCTTGACATGAAAAATTGAGCTATTTATTTTTATATGTAACAAAATTAAAACTCTGCAATGTTTCATTTTAATATATATTTTGACTGATAGTGTTCTTTGAATTCAGTCAAAATACACATTTCAGTCAGCTGGGATCCATAGTACCAATTTAACCCTCAAAATACCCAAGTTTCTTTGTAGAAAAATATGTTTTAGTCATTTAACTCAAGTTATACATTCACTTCATTTGCTGATGTGGCTGCAATGCACAGAGATTTAGCAAAGTTAAACAAGACTGTTCTGGCAGTTCTGTCAGCACAATCTGCAGCAGCAGATAATTCAACATGTGGTGTAAGACCCACTCAAAATATGGAGTGCTTGGCAGGGATCCCCACAGCTGAGCTCTAGCCATTCCTCTGCCTCCTCAGTGTTAATACAACCTGAAAAAGCTGGTTTATGCTCACCTATATTCACTGCCATTACAGTCAGTACAGATTGTGTAGGTATGTTTAGACTTGGTAGTTGAGTTGTTTAATTATTTATATGTATTTTTATATATATTTTTAGATAGTTATTTTATATTTATTTTATTTCAGCTCAGCTGGTAGGCTTGTAGTAGCTTCATAATTTAGGAATGTCCCCACGTCCTGAGCATCTCTATTCTACATCACATCCCACTCCTTCACAAGATGGCTTCAATGACCAGTCCCACTCACCATTGTAGTTTCTGCTATTGAACCAAAGCTGTTGATAAATATGTTGCAGGTAACATTTACAGGAGGACCTGCAAGTTGAACAATAAATAGAAAAATTGACAGGTTGTGTTCATGACATATATTAAGTATTGTTGCTCTCTTGCCAATGGCATCATAGCACTTACCATTGTGGTTTCTGTGACTGATCCAAAACTGTTGATAAAAATATTGCAAGTAACGTTTACTGGAGGACCTGTGGAATGCAATAAAAATGTTGCAATATACATTGAAACAAAAGTACAGATCCCTCAGCCTCCGTACAGTCTGGTACAGATGTGGCTGAAAACAAGTGAAAAGTGAGGTTTCCCAAACAGATCATGTAAATTTTGATGAAAAGAAAAACATCATTAACAGTAATTTAATTAACCTAGTTTCATTGGAAGTTGTTATATAAATACACAGAACTACATCCTTGCATTTAAGTATTTATGAGAAGAGTTGAGTGAGGGCAGGAGTATAACAGTTTTTTCCTTATCCACTGTACCAATGCAGAATATGGTTTAGCATTACAAACACTCCTCTCATTTCCTTCTCAGACTTAAAATTAAAATATTATCTCTCCACATTTATTTCACTCTGTATGCAAAGTCTTGCCACTGAAATTCTCAACAAGGACTACTTTTCATAGTGACTCAAATCCACTGAAAATAGACTTGGACAAGAAGCCTTTTGTGCACCTGATCTGAAGATGTCTGCATTGCCATAAGCAAATATTTTAGCAAAATCTGTTCTGGCTCAACATAGCTTTTGTTAAACAGCTATTTGTAATCTCTTCCCTCCCAGATCCTTTCCTGTTTTTCAGTGGTCACTGACATGTAGCAGAATGAATGCGGAGTTAATATTCAATTAGTTGTCTGTTAGCCACTAATTTCTTAGGTGTGATGAAATAAACAGGGGTTCCCAACTGAATCAACAATGATTAATGCTAAATGCCTAAATTTCAGTGACACAAAAGTTGGTACAAACATCGAGTATCAAGTACATTCTTATCTCTTTTCTCATTATTTTTATTCACATAATTTTCGTAATATTAAAAAATAATGTCAGTGCACAGAATATAAATAGCTACATTTGGTTTCATATTTAGACCTGAAATTGCAAAAGATGGAAACATGATTACTTTCTTTTTTGAAAAATGGAAAGATAAGTAATGTGTCAGGAATGCTTGCTACCCCGGTCATCTTTCTGTCCTTCGTATCTGGAAATGGCTTCAAGGAGGATTTGCTTCTGGCTTCAAAGTAAGGCTGGACAGTTTGTAGTTCTGGATCCTCCTCCTTGTCTTTCTCAAATATGGGAATGATTTTTTTTTTCTTTTTTCCCATGATGAAGAACCTCCTCTAATGGCCATAAAATTTTAAAGATAACTAAGAATGGCCTCACAATACCATCAGTTAGCTCCCTCAGTACTTGTGGGTGCTTCCTATGTGGTTACAATGGTCTTATCTGTACCCAGTTTGCCTAAATGCTCTGCAGTCCGATTCTTCTCCACTGAGTTTTCCTTGATCTGGACTTTCCATAGGTCTCAGAGGCATGGGATTCCTGAAGACCTTATCAGTGAAGACTGAGGTGAAGAAGGTATTGAATGCCTTGTCGTTTTCCCATGTGTTTTGTCAAATTTTCTTTAATCTTATGGTGTTGCATTGCAAAAGCTGCCAAATATGAGGACCATGACTTTCAATTCTGAGTGCCAGCAGAGCCCAGTAAACATGCTTACCTATGTTAGGAAACATGCTACTTCAACACAGACTTCAGTTCAGATGAACACTAAGTAGGTATGTGCTAGAGCATTGTATCTTACAACAAAGAAAACAAAGAAAATATCTGCCTTCATTTCTCTACTCAGTTGTTTTCTGCTGGTAGATGTAAAGAGAAATATAGAAATGTGGACCCTGGGAACTACTAACCTGTCAGTCTCAACTCTGTTGAGACCCCAGAATAGAAGCTATGCTAAGGCCCATGGAGGACAGAGAAGTGGTTTGAGACAGCCAGAATGGCTTCACCAGAGGCAAGTCCTGTCTGACCAACCTAGCAACCTTCTGTTATAGAGTGGCTACATCAGTGAAGAAGGGTAGAGCTATGGATGTTGTCTATCTGGATGTCTGTAAGGCCTTTGACAGAGTCCTTTACAATATCTTTCTCTCTATATTGGATACAATGTGTGCTCACAGCCCTAGAAACATTCAAGATGAGGTTGGACTGGGCTCTGAGCAGCCTGATAATGGTCGAAGGTGTCCCTACTCACTGCAGGGAGTTTGGACCAGATGATCTTTCAAAGTCCCTTCTAACCTAAACTATTCTAAGATTATGATTCTGTGATTCTATAAATCTGCAAAACTGACCATGTTCTCTTCATCCTCAGAGTTTCCTGGAAAGAGTTTTGTCAGTGAGATATCACCAATTCAGTTTTTTTTCCTGATCATTTATATTTACTTATAAACATAAAAAATGTAATGCAAGATTTACAACTAAATGAGAACTGTAGATATTTACTAAAGTATCTTAAAATCTAACATTTGATCACATAAATCACAGATTCTAAGCTAGAAGACCAACTTTCTGTTAAAGTCAGCCTGCTGGTGATGGGGTTTCTAAATGTGCATAAAAAAGATGAGCTAAATGAAGTAGATAAGAAAAAGATAGCTAACTGAGCACTGAATTTGGTTATGTTTCTATTCTTTTGTATTGATCTTTCGGGTTTATTTTACTGATAATATTCCAGTGGGGAAGGGGTGTATAGGTCTCGTACATCTTAAGAATTACACTGCATCCTATGAGATTTTTCTGATCTAGTAATTCATTTAAAATGAAAGCAGTAAATTTCTATGAAGTATAGCCAAGGTTTGAGAACATAATCTAAAACTCTTCAAAGACAAAGGAAATATTTAATTTGTCTTTATTGCCTAAAATCTAAAAAGAGTTGTCATTTCCTCTAAAAAATTAAGCAAAGTATACTTTATAATGAAATCCCTTTTCCCCCACTTGTTTTCTTTTTGCCACCTCCAATGCAACAGGGTAACAGTCCAGCTGCATTTCAGGCACATTTGAGGTAATCAAAGTGATTTTCAAGTCACAAGGAAAATGTCTGCTTCTTGAAAGGACACAGGTGAAAAAAAGAAAAAAAAAAACCCAAACAGGTAACTAATGCTCAAAGCCACCAGGCAGTAGCAGTCTCTTGTATTCTGACAAACAGCTAAGATACTGTTTCTGTTCCCTACACTCTCGTCCCCCTGCAAATACTGCCAGTCAAGAAAACTACTGCTCCAATACACTGTCTTATGGAAAAACTCTGACATTTTGATACGTTACACACCTCCTGTGACTTCAGGGCACTTGGCACTTACAGAAAGTCCTCAGCACTCATCTGCTCACCCTACTCATGAGAAACCTGACTATACCAAATATTTCCCTGAATTTGCTTTGGCATATTGCCTCACAACTCATGTACCAGAGGTGTCTGTGACCTTGTCTGGTTGCCTGGCTAGAGAGTGAATCCTTTCCTTGTCAGTTGCCAGAGGGGGTGAATCCATCCCACTGCATGGGTGAATCCCCATGTTGACTGATGAGTGCTGAAAGATGTACCCTGAGCCCCATCCAGCTGCTAAGTGCAGCTTTTGCTGAATATTCTCCAGTCTTGATAAGACACAGCCTGAAAGCTTCCTTCATTTGGTATGTTCTTGAGCAGACCTACTTGTACTCTTGCCCTGGAGATCATCCTAACTGCAACTAATCATATCTGTATTCACACATCCATCCTAACTGCCTTTTGGTGTACAACTTCCAGGCTGCACCTGGCAGCCTTTTTCTCTTTACAATAAGTTCAGCCATATAGATAAAATATCATTAGTGGTAATATTATAATCATACAAGAGATTTAAAATGATACCTCTGCACTTGCTAATATTCTTTTATATGTCTATTATTAAGGGATTTTGTAAGGCAAGCTAAAATACCATACACACACAGAGAACTGTGGGCAAATCAGAGAGATGTGGAAGCAAAAATGAGAGATAGTGAGGCTGAACCACCTCATGGAATGGCAGTGAAAATTCTGGCAAGATGTTTACAGATCTGTGAAGAATCTTATGTCTTTCTGTATATGTAGTAGATTTTGGTCTACCTTCTGATTTTGGTGCAAATGGTACAAATGGAAAGAGGTTTTTCCCACCATCTCAGTGCATATACAGGGGAGAGAGGTGAGCTGAGCTGCCCTTCTTACCTTATCACAGAGAGCAAGATAAGCATCAGGACTGTTTCAGAAGACTAAAATCAATCCCACCTGAGTGTGGGGATAGATCAGGTTCACAGGAACAGGACCAAGGGTCAAAGTGAGGGGGCAGTGAACCCACCAGGGACTGAGCATCCTTTCATCTGTGGAACAAGTATTTCATGTCTGAGATCAAACAAGGGAGGTGATCAAATATGGCTGAGCAGGACAAAGACTCATATGCTGACCTGAACACTGGTAACACAGATCCCAGGGCAGGAGGGAAGGGTAGCAGAGCTTGTTGGAGATGGTTTCTTAATTGCCACTTCTAAAGGCAGCTGTGGGTTTAGCGACCATTTATCCTCAACCAAACTGAACAGCTTCTGAGTCTAGCACAGTCTTCTTGAGACCTGAAACAGAGCTAACCCCTATGGAGGGCTCTGCTTTTGCAGCTGCAGTTCTACAGGTGCCTGAATTCCAACTTCAAAAGCTTTCCAATGCATCTCTTCATGGCCCTCCAGGCACATCCCTGTAAGTCAAACAACAAGGCTGAACTACTGCTCAGACACCTCAGATGGCCGTGGTCATTAGACAGGAGCAAGTGGCTTGTCTACCTTCATGGCTGCTCAGAGTATGTCAGGCAGGGTGCTATCAAAGGCAATTCAGCCAACCTTGTGGTCAGGGCCCATGGATATTGGGCCAAGGAGAGAAAGGTAGCTTTGATGTGCTAGAAAAATTCCTCTGAGCCACAGGGATCCTGTAGCTACTCCAGAAGCAGTTTAGCTTGCACAATTGTTTTCAAGGATTTGTATAATTCATAGTCCAACTGCTGATGAGAAAATTCACATGATTTAACAAGCTTGAGCTTCTAATAAGAAAGCAGGAGGTAGACCATAGGTAGTCTTTATTGCAAGTACCTAGGTAGGCCTTTTAACTTTCCTTATTGTTCTGCTTTTGGGAAAAAACAATGTTTTCCTCCATTTCAGCAG